TTTTCGCTTAGAAAAAAAATTCACAGCGTCAGCCCCGGTGCGCCTTGAAAGGATCGTTTCTTTCTTAAAGGACGTGGGGGGAAGGGAAACAAAACAGATGGATTAATAAATCATTTTTAAATGCCCCGTTTAACCGCCCAATCAGCTTTTCTGTACTGATTGTGCCCCCTTTGTAAATATCTTCTGTTTGCCCTTGATCTTTTCCTTATCCCCACCCGGTGCTGATCCAGCAAACGTTTAAAGGTCGCCTTATCGTACAGGCTTTCAAACTATTCCCATACCATGTTGGGGAGAACACGAGTGGCTTGGAAATAGGGTTCCAGACTTTAAAAGGAGATTATTCGGAGCAGGAAATAAAAAAGCAGTGTAGCCTCATTGTTAAAGGATTTTGATATTGACTTTGATTTCTCTAATCTTTAATGACAGCTACGCTAAATTTTGTTCCTGGTGATGCACTGCAGAACAATCCACTGTTAATTGAAATTCTGTTCGGAGCTTTTAACTTCAGCAAAAAAAACCCCCAACATATTTTGTTTCATTGGAACTTTTTGACAAAAGTGTGTGCTTTACATGAGTACTTTTATACCAAGGTACTGCAAGATTTGTGTTAGCAGTACGTGTGTTAATACCTGATTCTTGTCCCTTCTCTAACTTTAGACAGCTAATTTCTCTTTTGTCCTCTGTGAAGGAGTGGCAACCATATCTTACATTAAATATAAAATGGAGTCATGGAGAAGGAGAAAGGCAATCGTGTTTGAGGCTGCCAAAAGCCCTGTTAGCTCTGCAACTTTTTGAAATCTGAACTATAAACAGCGCAAAATAAAAATTTAGTTTATATTGTACCTCACATCTTAAAATATAGAATAATTTTTTATTGAAAAATTGCGAATAAATTTATCGCAATAATTCCGTGGTCATGGCCACCCTTATGACAGACCATACATGCATCTATTCTGTATGTGCTGACTGCATTTCAGTTTGAGCAGTTGGAGGAAGAACTGTTGGATGTGCACAGCGGACATTTTCTCCTCAGTTTGCATCATTTCACCCGTGCACAGTTTATGCGGAAGATTTGCCTGGACTTAAAATAAATGTTGCATAATTTTAGTTGTTTGTGTGAAATCTTCTAAGGCGGTTGTTAACATTTTTATAATTCTGCAGCCTACAGTGCAGTCAATATGTTTGCAAACTTTAAATTGATAAATGACCCTTGGACTAAGACCTCTCAGGCTAAACTAATAGTCTGGTGCTAAATTTTGCAGCTGAGTACTATAAATCGTCCAAATAAGGGTTGGTAATTGAACCCTTGACAGGCTTGGCAGTTCTGTGATGTCTTAAAAATTATCCTTGCTGCTTTGTGAATAACCAAACAGCCAGCTCATGTGATTTGGAAGTGCCCCATGCTGTATATGTAAACACAAGCCCATCTTCTGCAGCGTTGTTTGTAAGTCGGGCTGAATGGAGCTGACATCCTCACCTTCCGCAGGCAGGAACTGAAATAGTTTGGTGCACATTTTTTTGACTTGAAAAGTAACCTATTTTATGCAGAAAGCAAAGCTGAAAGAATAGGCCTCCGAGCTTTATCTTACTCTTTCCTTATTTGGATGTGTTTGCTTTTGTTTTTTCTTAAAGGAACAAGAGCACTCAAGGTGAAGGATAATAATCAACTCGAATCAGCACTTTGAATGAAACTTTGTTTCCCTGTGGCGTCTTGAACACTTTCTTCTTCGGGTTTTGAAACAGACTTATAACTCTGTGGCATAGCAGCTATGCAGCTTGAAATCCAAGTAGCACTCAATTTTATTATTTCCTATTTGTACAATAAGCTTCCCAGACGACGTGTCAACATCTTTGGTGAAGAGCTTGAAAGACTTCTTAAGAAGAAATATGAAGGGCACTGGTATCCAGAAAAGCCATACAAAGGATCAGGGTTTAGATGTATTCATATAGGGGAGAAAGTGGACCCAGTCATAGAACAAGCATCCAAAGAGAGTGGTTTGGACATTGATGATGTTCGTGGCAACTTGCCTCAGGATCTTAGTGTTTGGATTGACCCGTTTGAGGTTTCATACCAAATCGGTGAAAAGGGACCAGTGAAAGTGCTTTATGTGGATGATAATGAAAATGGATGTGAGTTGGATAAGGAAATCAAGAACAGCTTTAACCCAGAGGCCCAGGTGTTCATGCCAATTAGTGACCCAGCATCTTCAGTGTCTAGTTCTCCTTCTCCTCCCTTTGGTCACTCAGCTGCTGTGAGCCCAACTTTCATGCCCCGCTCCACTCAGCCTTTAACCTTCACCACTGCCACATTTGCTGCCACCAAGTTTGGCTCGACCAAAATGAAGAATAGCGGCCGTGGCAACAAGGTCGCCCGCACCTCTCCCACCAACCTTGGCTTGAATGTCAATGACCTGTTGAAGCAGAAAGCCCTCTCCTCCTCCATGCACTCTCTCTACGGGCTTGGCCTAGGCAGCCAGCAGCAGCAACAGCAACAGCAGAAGACTTCTGCCCTGTCTCCTAACGCAAAGGAGTTCATTTTCCCCAACATGCAGGGTCAAGGTAGTACCAGTAGCATCTTTCCTGGTGACAGCCCCCTTAACCTCAGTCCTCTCCAGTACAGTAATGCCTTTGATATGTTTGCAGCCTATGGAGGTCTAAATGAGAAGTCTTTTGTGGATGGCTTGAATTTTAGTTTAAACAACATGCAGTATTCTAACCAGCAATTCCAGCCAGTTATGGCTAACTAAAAATAAACCGAAAGTGAAATCCAAGTAAATACTATTGTACAAGTTAAAAATGCACGTACCCAAGGGTGTATCTTTTTTTCCACCTCTTGAGATTTTTTTTAAGGCTTGTAGTATGAATACATTCAGGCTTGGTTAGATAAATACAACATGCATCATTTTTTTCATTTGCCAACCAAGCACAAAATTATTTTATACTGACTGTACATTACAAAAATATACTCTCAAAATATGGCCTCTTACAGTATTTAAGATATAGCAAGGACGTGGCTAATTTTTTTCATGTGTATATATATATATGTACACAGACATATATATATATATGTTTAAAAAATTGGCACTAATAGGTGGGTTTATTGGTCTTTTTCTAATTGTATAATTTAATTTAGTACAAAGTTTGTAAAATATCAGAGTATATATATTGTTTCTACAACATGGTATTGCATTTATATCTTTTTACTACAGTGATCTGTGACAGCTGCAGCAGCTTCATGTTGTATTTTTTTTACTGAAATTGTAAGATATCCATCTTAAAGACATCAATTCTAAAAAAAAGTTAAAAAGTTGTGTACAGAATATTCCTTAGTGGTGGAATTAAAATGTACGAAATATTTGCTTTTTTCAAAAGAAACACAAATTGTATTTTCTGTTAAAAGTTTAAAGATTTTTGCTATATATTATGGAAGAAAATGTAATCGTAAATATTAATTTTGTACCTACATTGTGCAATACTTGAAAAAAGGTATAAAAGTATTTTGAGTCAGTGTCTTACATGTTAAGAGGGACTGAAATAGTTTATATTAAGTTTGTATTAAAATTCTTTAAAATTACTTGGCTGTGGTGGTGTGTGTTTTTCCTGTCCTGCTGAGCATCCAAGCACTGCTGTTCCTTGTGCTGAGGATGCACCAAAGTCTGACTCAGAGGAGCAGTGGAAGGGTGGCTGCATTGCTGCACCACATGGGGCTCTTTACCCAAAACACCACTGACAGAGCACAGAACCCAATTAAGGACTTGCCTTCAATTATCTGAGCAAAATTCCACTTGTTTTCCGTAACTGCTGCTCAGTGAAGCCAGAAGGGAATTCCGTTCTTTTTCCTTGATAATTAAGACTATAAGCTCTGTGAACGTGGAGTTATGGGGTGAGGGTGTGCCTAGCAGGGACTCAGGTGATTCAATGAAATTCCCTTTCCATGTCACTGGGATTATTTGAACTATTATCTCGGGAGGTCCTAGACCAGCACATCAGCGTTCTGCCTCTGTATTAGGGATTAATAGCTCAGAAACAAAACTGAATAAAAGTGCTGATTTACAGCTTTCTAAACTCATTGTAAACTCACATTTTATATGCTCTATTAAAAGGAGAAATGTAATGCAACTGCAGTGTGACATTCTAAGGTTTTTATTTTAGTGGATTTTGCCAATTTTAATTTAATAGATTCTCAAAATCGAATGTGTGTGGGAGGAGAAAGAATTCAGAGGCTGACAGAACAACTCAGCTTTTCCAGGGCTATTTTGAAGTTGCCTCCCTTATTCTTTTCCGTCTGCTTGGCAAACAGTGTTCCTTGCTAATGGACATTGTCAAGGGGAAGAGAAACTGCTTTAATGTGTAAATCTGACAAAGGTCAGCTTATGTTCCATGGCAGCTCCAGTCCTACAGAGCTCCAGTGCTAAGTGGATAGTCCTTGGCTCTTGGCAGTGGATTGTAAGCCACAGACGGAGCACAGGATTAAAATGATTTGAACTTTAGCATTCTCAAACTGGAATTTGAGACTGAAGGTCAGTCTTTTCCTGTTGGGTGCCCTCGATGTGACAAGAGGTGTGACTTCCACGCAGGCCCCCCTGTTTGGTGGGAGCAGAGTGGTGCTGGGAGAGGGTGTTTTTCACACTGATATGAGCTCTGTGCTTTGGACAGAGGCTGAGAAGAGCTGGCCGGGCGGAGGTGGGAGGCTGACAGTGGTATCCATTTCTAGTGCCATGACAACCAGTTCAAAAGCAATAATGGAGCAAAGGGGTTTTTTTTAGGCGTTCGTCTGTCTCTGTTTAACTGGCTCCTCTTTATTGAGTTTGCCATCTGGTTTATCTTTCCACTAACGGCGCATCCGCGGACAGAACGGGCCTTAAAAGCGCATCATTTGGTACCTAATTTTAAGTGGATAATTTTGCTTTTAAGAGGAATTAAAAAAATACTGGATCAATTACTGGAAAACGGAGAACGTTAGCTCTGTGTATTATTTCTGTTTGTATGCTCAGACTTCAGGACTTACAATTTTACTACTGACAGCACAATAGTGATACCTAAACTGCCTAGGAGGTTGAGCAGCTCTGACAGTGGAGACTCTTCGATGTGTTCTGTAATATTTCTGTTCCTGTGATTTAAACTGAGATCATTTGTCTTAAAGGTCATTGAGCTTATCCTCTTCCCAGGCTGATTTGTTCCACTGTAACCAGCTCTGCTTCTGAAGGGCCGCTGTGCTTTGCAGCAAGGAAAAATCTCTGGACACAAGGTTGGTTTTTTGCAGCACCTTTTAATATAAAGATTTGACAAACAGGGTTTGGTTCTGGTGCTTTGCAAGGAGATGAGTCTGTAGAAGAGCTTCCAGTTTTCTCAGCACAAATGTGAAGATTTTAATGTTTTTAATTCCCTCCTTATAGCAATGAGAGGTGCCTGCTTTGTGTTCAGTCTCCTTCACCCATTTATTTATCTTTTGCTAAAGTTTGGTGCTGAATTTCTAAGATCAAACATTAACATTGCAACCTTCTGTTCTCACCGAGTCAATCGCCGGGGTCATTTGCACACCCCCAGCATTCAGCTGTCTGGTAAGGGCAGTTGCTTTGATAGAAAAGACATAAAAAGGAGTGGAGGGGAAAAAAGGAAGTGTTTGCTCAGTTGTGCAAGTTCTTTTGTGTTTTCTCATGTGAACATGCAATTTACTTCCTTAAAATTGCTGGTGTAAGTTAAGCCTCGGAAATTTCTCTTTAATTTACGCTGAAGGAAAGGGCCAGAGCCATAAGTGTGTGACCCCCTCAGTGCTGCCTACTGCATCCTGTCACTTCACCCCAAGTCCCCACCCGAGCACAAGTTCAAAGTGCTTTGGTCTGCAGGGCTCACTCCATTCAGGGCAAATCGGTAACATTTGAAAATTGCAGTCTAAGATCTGTGAACCTGCTCAGAGGCACCGGCGTGGCAGGGCAGGGGTTCAGTGGACAGCTACAGTCTGGGCTGGATTGCTGTGTGGGTCGAGGACAGACCTCACTCTTGATCAGAAGTCTGGTAGCAGCCACCAAAATTAAACTGATCTGGTTACTTGTGCAAAGGGGAGCTGGCTCAGGGGTGGAGTTCACAGTGCTCCAGTGCTGCACCGTGTTCTCAAGGGTCCCTGCCACAGGGGTGAGTCCAGAGGGCACAGGCTGGCCTGGGTACCAGTTTTGCAGTTCCCAACTTCAGCTCAACTGTGGGAATTTATACAAACTGAGGACAGGGCTCTGAGCCACCTGATATAGTTGAAGATGTCTCTGCTCGTTGCAGGGGAGTTGGACTAGATGAGTTATCAAGGTCCCTCTCAACCCAAACAATTCTATGATTCTATAAGCCACACAAGGATCATCCCTCCTTCATGATGCAAAATGAGAAAGCTACTAAACATTGCTTACATTGCTTGCAATCTCTTGCTACACAGTCTGCACCCTCTGTTCCCACCACATCGCAGCGTGCAAAAGCTTGGTGGTAGCAAACAGCCCAGTTGCATTCTGAACTATCAAGTAACCAAACAACTAGTTGTTAAATCAGCTCTTTGGACCGACATGGGATCAAAGCAGAGTTCATGTACTGATCTGATGCCCCAGACTGTTCTATTAACGTTTCAGGAATAAATACCTCAGGGTTTGTGTTGGTAGTTTTGGAGCAGATGAAGCAAACCGGTGGTTCAGCACTCTTTTTTATATCATCAGCAAGTTGATTTAAATTGAGTGTACAGAGTTGGCTGCATTCCTCTCATGAGTTGCATAAAAAGTTTGCTAAATCGAAGTGCCAGAGCTGTAAAATCCTGCTGAAGGGACTGTTTCCAAAGATCAGCGAGAGGAACAGTTAAACTGTGACCGTGGCAGTGCATGTGTGACTTTTGTCCTCTTGGCTTTATTTTAGTGACAGTAGTAAGAAGTTTTGCCTTACAGAAGGGAAAAGGCATTAAGACTCAGGAACATAAACCACATTCCCTTTGGCACTACGAGTTCTCTACCTCATAGACAAAATATGATCAGAGTGCAGAACGAATGGCAGGTGTAAAATATTTTTAGAAAAACCTTGGCGTGCAGTGCAGACATCCCTCAACCCCCATCCTTTATTCTGTCAACTTTCGTTTGTTAGGAACAATCTGTAGTATCAAGGGCTGCAGTTCTGGTGGAACTTGCTGTAGTTTTCATTTGTAATTTAGCACTTCAGAGGCCTGAAATCAGAGCTCCTCTCCTCTGAGCGCTGGGACACTTACATTTAAACAGTCTGTCAGCCACGGAGCTCATTGCACTGCTTTCCCCTGTCCCCTTGGCTTCACGATTGCCCATAGCATAAAACAAAAGAGGACTCTGGGAATGTAGAGCCTTAATTATTTTTTAGTGCCCCTGTGAGCTTCTCTGAGAATTTTATATCAAATGGCTCATGAAGTTAAAACCAGCCCTGGAAAACCACCTTTTTTTCCTTGGCAGAATATAGTCATTGTCTTATACACCCATAACCCTTTCCCATGGCTTTTCTGCCTCCCACAGAACCCTCAGAAGGACCGACTAATGTGTTGCTCCCTTTGTTCACCGCCTCTTTTTACTTGCTCAGCTGCACCAGGCTTTCATGCTGCTCTTTTTTTCACCCAGACTCCACTTCTGTCTGACCTCAGCTCTGAATTGCACAGTGCTGGGAACTGCTGTGCCATGGGAGACTCAGCACACCAGGCTCCAGCCCCCAAGAGGTGCCCTCTCCCTCCGCCCCATGCTAAGCCTGGCTTGATTTCACTTTAAAGACATAGTGTAGAGAACTCCTGAATGTCAGAACATGGGGAAGGGCTGCCTTAGGTGCTCACAGTGCCACAGACCTGGGTGAATTTGCTGCTTGGGCAGCCTTGGCCAGGAATGCAACCGCCCAGGAGTTTTCAGTCACACTGATGGAAACAAGAGGTGGCAGGTTAGAGAAGAACATGGTATCAGGGATGACAACTTGGGCACCCCAGATCTGACTCTGGGCAAGGCTGACTCCCTTCTCTGTGTTGTTTCCTCCTCTGTCTCCATTGAAACCCACTGTTAGCAAGTGTGAGACATTAGCTGGCTATCACTGGCTGTTTGGTGTCAATAAGGAACTTCATCTGGTTCCTTTGTGCCACAGGAACAACCTCAGAGGTTGACCTGCCATTCCCTCCTTTTATTGCCTTCAGTCTCTGTGGCCTTGGAGCATCTTCTCCATCATACAGTTCACTTAACGTGGATTAGGTGACCTTTACATTTTGAAATAAGGCATGCATAGAAAAGTGAGGCACTGGATCCTCATTGTCCATGGTACATGGAGTCTGATTCATCCACCAGCAGAGCAGAAGGCCTCTGGAGCAGTGAGATCTCACATACTGACTATTGTGATTCTCTGAAAGAATGTCTGTGGGTGTTTCTATAGATATGGAAGTATATATTCCTCCAGTACAAATCATGTGAAAATTTTGCACCAGCCCACTCACTGAAGTTGCTGCTGGTCAAAATTAGACTTGCAGACAGATTTTACAAACTAAAACAAATTCCCCTTGGATTTTTGTTAGACCCTAACACTGAGCATCCCATGTGCCAGCACAGAGACAGGGCT